TAAATTTATTGCGAAAAATATTACCTCGGCCGGGACTTGAACCCGGATCTCTTGTAAACCGTACGAGCGTCCTGAGCCATTAGACTACCGAGGCCTTAAAATTTTAATTTCAATTAATTATAATAATAATGCGCCATGTGCACGTCACATCGTATACCATAGGTCTGTTTTTTATTGCCGCACTTTCTGAACTAGTACACACAGTGCAATAAGTTGAAGTTAGATAAGTTGAAACAAATATACGTTTGTTTCACTTTAACTTATTGCACTGGTTCAGAGTGCAGTAATAAAAAACAGACCTCTTATGTAACAATGTTGCCATTGCTGATTATCTCAACCGTCATGTGTGGTTGATCACATTCGAATGTGCAATGCTGCCATCGCTAGGTTAAGTCAAAAGCCCTCTAGTGTCGAAAAAACGAGATGGACATTTTCTCCTGGTTGATGATGACAATAATAATGATAATAATAACGATAATGACGACGACGTTTCTTAAAATGAGGTGAAAATTCACAGATCCGGACTTTGCGTCGCGATATCTCCGCTCGTAGGACACGTAGAAAAAAAATAAAAGCACCTTTATCATACAATCCGTGTGGTGGCTCTCGATTGAGCATACATAGAACGCGATCGATTCAGCCGTTATTGAGATCCGATAATCTCGATCTGCCGCAACTCGTCGGTTCGCGTAAAGGAGGAACGGCAGTATCGCTTCGCGCAGCTTAGCGCCGAGACACTGGCCTAGTTTACACCCAACGACCTGACCTATACCCTCACCTTTACCCTACTTAAGACAGGTCTCGAACGGAGCGTTTACCCCAATATAGACTTATAATATAAAATCCACTAATATAAAATCCATTTCTACGTACACAGCTTATTGCACATTACAAAACATGAAATAGAGTCATCTATTAGTTTCTTAGTACACTTTACGTCTTTAGGCCGTCTGCCTGCGTTTACATGCGTTAAAGCTAGGTAGGTCGTGCAGCCTAAGAGAGGTCAGGGATCTTGAAAAAAATCCCTCACCTAAGCGAGGTTATAAGTATTTACACAGTCGCGACCTGATGTGTGTGAAGTTAGCCCCCCTTTTTTTGAAAATTAAAATTTTGACAATTGTTCCAGATTGCTCTGAGTTTGTTCTACATTGTTCCAAAGCGATATCATCTTATTCCAAATCGTTCTCCAATAAAAGGAAAAAACGAATTTTTTTTGCTAGCCCCCCTTTTTTGAAATACGCTACTGGTTCTCCCAAAAATCGAATTTTTTTCGATTTTTGGGAGAACCAGTAGCGTTGGAACATTCATAATGCAGAATTATGTTTCTCAGGACTAGAACAACTGAAAATATAAAATTCTGCGTTGGGATAAGGAGATTGTACCTTTTCTTTTTGTCGAGCCTTTGTTTGTTGAAAAACATTTATTTTTTATTTTTCTCGTTTTCCGTTTGATTTACGAAATTGTCCTTTTGGAACAATGTTTGGAACAACTAGAACAATTTATCGCGATAATGAATTTTTCCAATATTAAGAAAAGGGGTGCCGGATAAGAAAATGTTTTTTTGTTTTCTGCCATTTCTGTTCGTCATATGGAATTGTTCTTTTGGAACAATGTTTAGAACAACTAGAACAATCTGTAGCAAAAAAAAATTGTTTGATATTCCAAAAAAGGGGGGCTAGCAAAAAAAATTCGTTTTTTCCTTTTATTGGAGAACGATTTGGAATAAGATGATATCGCTTTGGAACAATGTAGAACAAACTCAGAACAATCTGGAACAATTGTCAAAATTTTAATTTTCAAAAAAGGGGGGGCTAACTTCACACACATCGCGACCTGTCGTGTTTAGGTTAGATTTAGAGTATAGGTGGCGGCCTAAACGTAGGGTGTAAACTAGGCCACTACCAGTGTCTTCAGATACGTTAATAGACGCCGTTGAGACGTTCGAATTTTGTTACGTCTTTTAATATTAAAGGAAATTCTATATTTTGGAAATTTAGCACCATTGTATAATGTGGGTAGGAAGATTTGCGATCCGCATTTCTTTCGGTTGGATACAGAGCGGCGACCACCAACCACGCGGAGCATGCATTGTCCATCGATCGCACGTTAATCACCGCTCTCTTTGTCATTATCTCTCGCGGCACTTCGAAGCGACATCCTGCGCGCATCGGATTATACTTATTGATGTTTATTGTAAGATTCATGATTCGCGACAACGCCCACCCACTGTTATCACGTTTTTGAAACTCCTTGAGAAATGCTAACGTAGGTTCGATGATGTGCCGCTCGTACCACTCACACAAGTTCGATGTTGAAAGAATAGTTTTTAGTATTAATACTCTTATTGGCATGTTTATGACCCGTCGCAAATTCGCCGTTAAATATGGTGTTTATTTTTATATAGTTGTGTCTTTCTATTGTGTCTTGCACTCGCTGGAACATTATACTGCTGATGTCTTCTAAAAATTGTCGCGACTCGATATAGTCCGCGTTAATTACCGCACCGATTCGATTTTCAAACGCTGCATCGATCTTTCGCCAAACTAAAGATCTGTCCGCGTTTTGTCACTGTTATTGCTAGTGCTCGCGTAATCACCACCAAAATGCATAAATTGTCTTTCTAATTGAATCTTTGTACCCTTGAGTCGTGCAATTGTAGCGATTAAAGATTATCTGTATTCAATGGAGAGTCATGGACGCTTAACATGATTGCATTCTTCAAGCTGTTTGATAAATTCCTTGCACTCTTCTATCCGCGTGAAACACTCCTTCAAGGTAGCAATTTGGTGGGATCGCTTCAACAAATCGCACTCTGCTTGACTGAAATCTCGATCCATGTTTACAACGATTTACTAACAATAAGATGGGTTCGCTCTCATAGATTTCAACATACAATCTGGCACATTTTTTGATTGAATTAATTTTCGTCTATAACCCCCTCTTTTCAGAGTAGAACATTATGCGCTCATTTTCAAAGTATGCTTAAAAAAAAACGCTCTACCCTCATAAAAATTTATGAAAATACAATTCTATCGAGTTTCACTTACATTTACACTTCTACTAACCTTGAAACATATTGCAAAAAACATATTCGATCATATCCCCTCCCAAAAAAGAATAAACGATCGAGGCTCTTTTATCAAGGGAGGGCTCAGTGAGAAATGACAATGGAATCGACATCAAATCGATGTCGATTCGACGTCAAAATCATCGAATTCAACATCGATTCTATTGTCATTTCTTGGGGGGGGGGGGGGGAGGACATTGCGTTTCAAATTGAAACGTAATGGAATTCTGATGGAATTCGATGCATGAATTTTGTTCCCTGAAGCAAAACTAATCTGTTTTTTAAACGTTCAAGCCGCGAGTTTTGTTTTGCGTGCCATCCTTGGTTTCAATATCATCGATTTCGATAGCAGCCAGATGTTGGCACTCAATCGATTAATTATGAAACTTGGTCGTATTTATTTAAAATAATTAATTATTGCAATTAATTATTTAAAATAATTAATAAATGTTATTTCTAGAAAAATTATATTACGCCATATCTTGGCCAAAAAACGATTGGAGTATATACCGGCGAATACCCTTTGTAACACTTTTTGTTTTATAACTATTTGTTTTTTGTATTATTTTTGTTTATGGCAATATTCTCTTTTTGCATTGATGTTTTTTGTTGTCTTGTATATGACTACAGTCCCAAAAATCTGTGATGTTTTACTGCCACTCCCGCATGACGTCATACCCCCACCTCCAAAGAATCCCCCGCGCCCCGCATTCCCCTTGAAGCTCCAGAGTTAGAACTCCCTCTATTACACTACTAATAATAAAAATAAAAAATGATATCGGAATTTGCATTCTTGTTTATTTAATCGATGGTTTATTTAATTATGCAAAATTAAATAAATCTGCATAATTAAATGAACCATTAATGTGAATAAATATAATATTTCATTTGGATTACAAAACATAAGAGTTAATAAGATCTGAAATACGTCAATCCTGTATCTAAATAGGTGGGGAGAAGATAATGATATATTTAAAGCCGCCTCAGGTAAAGCCACACCAGTCATCGCGTGGTCTTGGAGAATGTTAGACGTATTTCTTTGTAATTCTTGACAGTCCATAGAGAAAGTATGTAATAACCGCATAAGTATTTTAAGCTTTTGAAAATTTATGACCATACCTGGTATGCACAACATACACTTTGTTCATGTTTTATATATTATAAAAAAGTGCGATTGTTAGAAAAATTTAGAATATGTTAATGTAATATGGTACAACATGACATTGTTTCATTTTTTCCTTATGTTCTGTCATCAGTCATGTTCAGTGATTAATTGAGTCTATCGAAGAGATTGGAAAAATATTTCATTCATAAATTTCATAAATCGTAATTATCAAATTTCTCGAAGAAGAAGAAAATATTTTATTTGTGAGCTTGATTAGCGGTATGTATAAGATCCTAAACAAATTTAAAACTAAATTATATAACGTAAAAAAAAAAGTATATCTTCTTTTTTATTTCATATATTTTTGAAAATGCAAAGAACGAAAAACGAGCTTTTTAACATAATTAAATCGGTAAGTTAAAATATTATACATGATACTTTTATAGAATTTGTGTGTATATATATGTACATAAATTAATTAGATCAAATTAAATAATACATAAATATTTTTTAATCTCAGAAAATATAATACTTATACTTAATTAATTGAATAAATTCGAAACTTTTATATTCAATACTGCTACAATTTAACATATATTCAGTGATTAATACGTAATGTAAACTATAAAGTATAAAATTGCATAAACATTACTCGTGAATGAAACTAATAAGGGGAGAATAACATCTATTACTTTGGTTTTTATTAAGATGTACTAATCGCATGCATTTCCGCACAACAATGCAGTAGGTTTGTTTTTTTCACGAACATCTTTTTTATTACTTCATATTTCTTGCATAAAATAATACTTGTAAATTATATCAGATTTCAAAATCTCACACAATGAGCAAAAATATAAATGTAGTATAAGTAACCACACAACTTATACTCGTAAAAATCATGTGAAATTAAATTATCACTTTAATTCATTTTGATTGGATTTTAATTCTTAAGAAATCATGGCGTAAACTAAGGAAGCCACTTCAAATATTTTATAAACAATTAGATACGTATTTATAAACAATTAGATCGAAGTGATGCGTTTTTTACGATAAGTTACTTATGTAATTAATGTATTTCATACTTGATTTATTATAATTCTTACGTTTTATATATAATTATTTTGACTCTTATATGCCCTATATTTCTGCAAATTGTTGTTTAATAATTAAAAGTCCTTGACTATTTTAACATTTATTATAAATTAAATAACGCATGTTGCACGATTATTAACCCACATATAAGAATCATATGTATTGATTTATATCATACTGATACCATCAATACATCGCAAAAAAGAGTAGATAAATAAATTTAGCAAAAGATAATAACTTTTCATTTAACGCGTTTCTATATTTATGTTAAATGCACATTTTTATATCAATTTGTGTACGACGATTTGAATATGCATTAGTGCGAGGGAATAATCACTTAATCATTAGTGAACACAGAAACTATATTAACTGGAATACCACACAGCGCTTGATTATTATGGAACATCAATTGGAATATTCTAATTTGATTAGGACAATATACGCATCTTAGATGAGGGAAAAATACTGAATAAGAGACTCATCTCAGAAACTATTTTTATCAAACAATAAACTAATAGTTTAAATTTACAGAATAATATGGAATTGTTGGACAAAGCTTATGATAACATAATTATGTTTAAATGACACGCTCAATGTATTCCATATTTTATATATTTGTACTTGTATTGTTGTCTCGTCAGATGAGACTCGACGTCCGACGCATGAACAGCTTAATAACGTTTCAATAATCATGTAGGGCCCAGTTCCAGAGCTCACGGTTAACTCTTAATCGAGATTCAACTTAATTCTCATCTTTTTCCAATTCTAAAATTGGAAAGAGACAATGAATAAGTTGAACTTCGGTTAAGAATTAACTGTGAATTGTGGAATTGGGCTTAAGTCAGAAAAAATTTTTTATGCTTATATTCTATTATATTCTATTATATATAACGATTCGATAAATTTATTGTATAGTATACCAGGAAGTACGATGACATTACTGTTATATTATTGTTACATTACTACTCTTAGATGACTGAATTCTGTTAACAATTTACATGGAGTATTGATAAGGATCCAAAACAGGATCGAAATGTCTGCGATTATAATTATGTTAATTTATATAAACCAATCTTCATATTGTCATCCTGTGTTGACTCGAATAGGCATTATTTGATTATATTGATTTATCTCAATCGAGCTTTAATACTTAGTTTATTAATTAATAACCACTTAATGCAATCATGGGACGGAATCCTCGAAAGCATTATAAAATTCATATGAAATCTCTATATATAATCCGAATAATATATAATCACATATAAATATAATTACATATACAACCATTATATAATATTAAATTAAATCATATATTTTATATGATCAAATAACTTCGTAATTATGTAGTGAAAAAAATTATTTGTAATCAGATGAAATCATATGAAATCCGTGGGACAATATTTCAACTAATAGTTACTTCCTCGTATCAGTGCGCATTAAGTTACCCTTCACGGTGTAAACGGGGTCATTTGTGTGTCCAGGCGATTTTTAAAATTATGAATATTTTGAAAACGTGCAGTAAATACGGACGCGCTGTTCTGCTCCTAAAAAAATTTATCGGGTGGGGGAAGACGCCCGTGAAAGCCCGGCAGTAGACGTCATTTTCTCGTTGAGCAATGAATATTCAAAATTGAGAGCGGACTCAAATAACCTCCGTTTACACGCAACACATATTTGTTATACAAGTAAACAAAATAATTTTTTGTGTTTCTTGACTATTTTTATAAGTAAAACACATATATATAATGAAAAAATTTTTATTTAGCATTATCTTAGAATAAAAATAGCAAATTACTCTGCAAAAGAGATGTTACAATTTCTTCATTCTCTTACAATGTTATTCCGTATGTATTTTTTTATTTACGAAAGCGTACCCACATAGCACGGGGAGGTCATACAATTTTTGTAAGCTTCATTTAAGCTTCAAAAATAACTTCTCGGGAACTACTATATCCGCTTATGTGAGAGTTTCCTGAGAGCTTTATTTTGATTCGCAGGCAGCTCTTTTTAAGCTCTCTGAAAGCTTAGCAAAATGAAATCCCTAGCTGAGAGCTTATTTAGTCGAATTTTGTAAGCTCCCTGGAAGCTCAACAATATGAACTCTCTGCGAGTTCGTTTTGTCAAATTTTATAACCTCCCCGAGAGTTCAGCAAAGTGAACTCCTCGCGAAGACTTAATTGAAAGTGCTTGTGCTGTGGGTATAAGATTGTAGATTTTGAATAAAAAATAAATTTTTTAAAGTAAATTTTTCATAGGAACGCTTATTTTTATAAGTTTCAAAATTGTAAGACTTCATGTCCCAAATTAAAGCATTTCAATTTTAAAAAATTTAAACTTTATTTTCCATTTTTAATAATTAGATTTTGTTGATTTGTTCAAAAATTACAAATTTTTAAGCATATCACTACCATACTCGCATTTCGATTTATATATATTTTTGCAAAAATAAAATATTTAAACAATAAATTTGTAAAATTATCTATAAATCTTTTATTTATAATAGTTGAGGAAGCTACATAAATTTTTTAATATTTTTTAAACCATTTAATTTATTAAAAACACTCCGGATATTAACAATCCCCGTATACACTTAATTAATGAGTATTACAAAAATGTATACATGGCAAAGATAGTCTTAAATAAGAATTATCTATGAATAAGAGTTATTTACCGTACATACGATGGTCGCAGGAAAAGGAATAAAAATTATGAAGGCTCAGCGCGCACTTTTTAAAACCTAAATACTAGATATATTTGAAAATACATTCGCCATAATATTATATGAGATGAGATTTGTTTTGAAATTCAGTTTAATAACGCACATAATTATAACACAATTGTGAGAACATAATTTAAAACATAATTGTGAGAAAAATTGAAACATCGGATGGAAAAATTTTAAATTCTAACAACGATAAAAAAAACAATCCGTTCAAGATTAATAAGAATCAAGGCCGATGAAGATGCCAACGATTAAATTATAATACCATTAATCATCTTTCATAATGCGTAATTTTCTTTATTATGAACGTTTCGGCTCTCTTTGGAGTCCTCTTCAGCAATGTTACAGTTCTTAATTCATCTTCATTGAACCTTCCGTAAAATTCCAAAGCTTCATGGACATGTTGAACTTCCCGTTTGAGAATCAACTGCAGTTGGGAACCTGGTAGTGACTCACATTTAACGGAAGGTTCAATGAAGATGAATTAAGAACTGTAACATTGCTGAAGAGGACTCCAAAGAGAGCCGAAACGTTCATAATAAAGATTACGCATTATGAAAAATGATTAATGGTATTATAATTGAATCGTTGGTACCTTCATCGGCTTTGACTCTTATTAGCCTTGAACGGATTGTTTATTTTTATTTTTAAGTTTGTGAGTCTGTGTTAAAATTTTATATTTCAAACAACAATACCGGAAAAGTTTCATGATTAGTGTTATGGCAGCTATTATTTAGGATTTTTTAGTATCTTATTGTCGTGATTTAAGATGGTTCTTTAGTAAAGTACCGAAAATTTGGGGTGTCTCACCAGGGCCCACTCAAATTACAAATATTTCATTTCATTTCATTTATTCATGCAATCAATAAAATTTACAATTGGGTAATTAGTGATTACAGAAATTGAGTGTGTGAGTGATGTATGAAATGAACAAAGTGATAAGGCTCCAGCAAAATCCGCTGCTCTAATGCCTACCAGAAAAGAAAACAGTGAGTTACAATTCTAATAGCGAGTGAGAACTGAGATAAGGAATGAAATTAACAATAAATTGTACGCAGAGAAATATTTGCATAATTTGAATAAAATATTAAAACTACGTGTATATCTTGATGAAATGGTATGAAACATTCGATAGTAAATCAAGAGCTGCATCTTCATCAAAACAAGAAATGAGATTATGTTTACTTTTTAAGATTAAATTCATATGTGAGTTTATGCACGTATTTTTCCAGAATGGCAGTTGACCAATTACTTTTTTGTGACCATTAAAATCATAATTTTTTAAACTATTACCCTATAAGCGCATAATATTGTTTAATATTAAGTAATATTTTAGGCATATTCTTAGAATATTAAATGTAACATTTTAAAAATATGGTACTAAAATTATATAATATTAAATAATATTCTCGAAATATTAACTCTTATACCGTACCAATATGGGTAACTATAATAGTAACCGAGCAATTCCTGTCCGTGCAAGTTCCTTTGAGTCTTTCAGTAATTATAAATTATATATATACTACATTTTGTTATTTACCAAAATAAAAAATCAATATTTATTCTAGAAAGTTGAAAATATGTTGGTGAATTTTTAGAGATTTTTTAAAATTATTTTGAAAAGGTGAAAAAAACGAAGAGATTCTAGTGACACTTGATAGTATGGATGAGGCACCAAATTGTACATGGTACGGTTAATGGAAGGATTAATGGAAGGTTATTTGTCCACTTCTGATAATATTGTACGATTATTGAAAGTAACATTACTTAATGTTACTGGAATATTGTATAAACATATATATATACAGGGTGGCCCGTTTTAATCGCCGCACCCGAATTTCTCGGAACGTAAGCCAGATAGGGAAAAACGGTTCAGACAAAAGTT